CATTAATCTAAAATTTTACAATTTATGGTGTAAACAGATTGAATTCAGATTAGTTATCATATTTGCTTGGACTATTGAAGGCATGATTGGGAATGAGTCCCTAGCTAAAATTTTTTGCTCCAATCAATTTATTTTTTATTTAGATGGATTATACTAGAATGTAGCTTAATTATGAAATCTTAAACTCGAGCTCCGTTGTGATACTCACATAGGCTTTAAATTATTTGATTTTACATTTTCACACATTATGAATTTAACGTATTGCCTTATTCAAGTTGCTCCTGTAAGCCTTATGATTTTCATACATTAATGAAATTCTATTTCTAAAAAAAAAAAAAAAACTCATTTTATACAATTAGACATCACCTAATTCAGTCCTTTCATTGATGCCAAAGCAACCGTGCAGCTGCTTAACAATGTTGCTTATATCACCAGCTCTTGCGTTGGAGCAATCTCCTGCAACAAATCTACAATCCTTGTTACCAACATGAACCAAGCTGTACCCAGTAGAAACCCTCAAGCCCCTTTCAGACACTACCACCCTCATCCTTGCCGCATCATCCCACGAACTGTCAGCAGCATGCATGCTAAATGCCAGCAAATATCCAGAAGAGTTGAAGGGTTCAATCTTGAGAAGGTGAGCAAGAGCTTTGGTGCCAAGCTCACTGTTGCCATAGGTTCTGCAAGCACTTAAAATGGCACCCCATGCGCTTCCACTGGCCTTCAGACCGTTAGGCATCTTGTCAATCAATTCAATTGCAGCATCAAGCATCCCTGCTCGACCCAACATGTCAATGAGGCACGAGTAATGCTCCAAACCAGGTTCTATGCCATGATCTTGCGCCATTGATTTGAAGAAGGCAAGCCCTTCTTCAATTAACCCCCCGTGACTACATGCAGAGAGCACTGAAAGAGCTGTCACGGTGTTTGGCCTCATCCCATGCAGTTTCATTTCCGCAATCAACGCCAAGGCTTCTCTAGGGAGTCCATTTATGCCATATGCTGCTACCATGGCACTCCATGACACTATATTTTTTAGAGGAATCTGATCAAAAACCTTTCTGGATGTCTCTACAGCACCACATTTTGAGTACATATGAAGAATTGCAGTTCCAACAGCTACATTTGCAGCCAAGCCACTTCGAATTGCAATTCCATGTGCCCATTTTGACATTTTCAGTTCAGCTGAAATAGAACAACCTTCGAGCAGATTTATGATAGTAATGGTGGTAGGCCTCTCTTCTGCCTTGGTCATGTCGTTAAATATTCTAATCGCTTCATCAGCCCTGCCACAGTGAGTTAAGCCTGCTATCATTGTGCTCCACAGGACCACACCCCTTCTTTTCAGCCCATCAAAAAGTTTCCATGCAATATCTACAAGGTTGCATTTTGCATAAGCATCAAGTAAAGAATTTACTACCAATTCATTTAATTCATAACCACGTCGAATCATCACAGAGTGAACAGATTTGCAGAGAAAGCCCCGCATAAAGTATTTGCATACTTGAAGAAGATTCACAAGAGTCACCTCATCCTCCTGAACTCCTTCCTTCCACATTAAGTTGAACAGTGATAGAGCTCTTGAATACTTCCCATGGAGAACAAATCCAGACATGATTGAATTCCATGAAACATTGTTCTTCCTTGGCATCTCACAAAAAACACAGAAGGCAGAGTCAACATCCTTACACTTGGAATACATATCAATCAAGGAGTTCCCAATGAACAAATCATCATTAAAACCTTTACCCATAACCATTCCGTGCACTACTTTTCCCATGTGAATGTCTCCCACTTTAGTGCAGGCCTTTAGAATACTTGCCACTGTTATGCCATCTGGTTGAATTCCAACCACTGACAACATTTCTCGAAACAACTGCAGGCTAACTTGAGGTTCCTCAGTCTGTATATAACCCACAATAATCACATTCCAAGAAATAACATCTCTCTCGCACATTTCATCAAACAGTTTACGTGCACACTCCATGTCCCCGTCTGCATACAAAGACAGCAATGAGTTCTGCACGGAATTAATAGCAGAAAACCCACTCCTTATTAAGTATCCGTGAACCTCAGATCCTGTATGATAAGCAACAACACTGCGGCAAACCTGAACAAGAAACACCAAGATGGAAGTATTGGGTTCGAACTCATCAATCCTAGCCTGTCTAAACCACCAGAGTCCTTCTCGCACAAAACCCAGATCAAGGTGGCCATGGATCATTATATTCCAAGAAACTGAGTCGACTCTGCTTCCCAGGGAATCAAAAGCAAACACAGCTGATTCCATGTCCCCAGATTTGATGTAGAAGTCCATAATGGAATTCCCAACGGAAGCAAATAATACACATCCTTGCTTGATCAAAGATGCATGGACAGATTTTCCAGACCCGGAGGAGAGGTTAAGGCATGCTTTGAGTATTGAAGGGAAGACTGAAGGGTCTGGTGACTGAACTCCGGATCTATTCATTTCCAGATAATGAGAAAACACTTGTTGCCATTGTCCACAACGCGATGACTCTTTGATTCTGAAAATCAGCTCTTGGAACTTCACACCCGAGGGATTATTCGCTGGAAAACGCATGCCAAAGCAAATACAAAAACTCCCACAACAATTATATTGTTTCAAAGTACACAAATAAATTTATACAAATTTTCCTGTTAAAAGAGCCTCAAATTTGGAGGAATGTCGTCCGCGAAGTTCAATAATAACTCGTAACAAACCCAGATTTGCCCAAAAAGAGAGGAAAATCGAGGGATCGAATCCGGAAAACAACAGTGATAAGTGGGAGAAACAATGGAGAGGTGAGGAGACTAGGCTCATAAAAAGAACCCCCAGGCCGCAAAAAATTAAAATGAAGGTAAAAGGAAAGGATTCAGGAAATTTTGGTGAAAACTTGGGAAAATTTTAGAGTTTGAAGCAAAAGATGAATAGCCGTTTTCCTTGCAATGCTAATGTGAAATTTAAACGCTAAAAAGCTAAAAATGCGAGAGAGAGTTGATACTAAGCAATGTTTTTGGACCCGGCCCGGTGGTTAGCCCGTTTTGGCCACCGGGTCCGGTTGAACCGGTTGAATCGGTTCACCCGACTGGTTCAACCGGTCAACTTAAAAAAACTCTTTTTTTTTTTTACATATTTACAATGCTGCTCTGTTCGGTGCTTCTACGCTCTGTTCGGTGAAGGAGAAGCTGTTGCTGGGAAGGAGAGGAAGGCAAGGAAGATGAGCTGCCAAAACGATGGTGGTGAGAGCAGGGAGATCGGTCTGTCTGCTGTTCGGTGGAGGAAGGCAAGGGGTTGGAGAGGGCTGTTGACGGTGGTGGTTGAGAGCAGATGCAGAATTGCAGATCTGTTTTGTAGCTGTTGCTCTGTTCAGTGAAGAAGAAGCTGCTGCTGGGAAGGAGAGGAAGGCAACGAAGATGAGCTGCCAACATGATGGTGGTGAGAGCAAGGAGATCGATCTGTTTCTTCTTTCAAACACGGTGCTGGTGACTGGTGAGGGCAGGGAGAGCAGTTCGTGTTCT